TACTTCATTGTTTTACCTAATTTCAGTCACTTATTTGCCTACAGAGCAACTTCATTTAAATAACTCGTGAATATTTTTGTGGTAATATGATCTGATTTATATTAGATTTAGATTTAAAGTGTCGGCATGATTTAAGAAGTACGAATGAAATGCTGCCCAACTGAAATAATAAAAATTGTACTTCACTATAACTAATCTTTTCTCTAATTCTAATAGCATAGCAATTCTTCTCTGTTGATCAGCACAAATGAATTACAGGAAGTAATTTTTTCACTTTGGTATTGTGACCAAGAATGGCAAAAAGAAACGTCTTAGAATTTCAATTTTCAGGAGTTCAAAATGGCACTTTACGTTTTGATATGCTATTAGCTTTCGCCCAGATGGATAGTAGTCAAGGGAGCGTACTGTGTTACCGAAGTGCCCGGGTTCGAGTCCCGAGGAAGACATAGATGTTTGTTAAATGTCTAGTGTTCATGCGGCATAGGAACACTCGAAATATATGCGGCGAGCCGAAAGGTACTCTCGTATGGTATGGTGGAAGGGGAGAGGGATGGGAGACCCCCGTACCACCCCTGGGTGCTCTGAAAATTGGGGTGGAAAATAGAACTTCAACCTTTCTGTGGAGTAGGATTTGGCAACCATTGTTCCATGTAATATAGACATAACAACAACAACGTATGCTATTAGTTAATGCAATTGTTTTGATAGGCTATAGAGACAATTTTGTTGAAATGGTGCTTAGTTTCTTTATTCTTGTACTTAACTACGAATTTCTTTGGATATATAATTAGTTCAGATGCTTGCTGGCATTTCATTCTTCATACATTCGATGGATAATCCAGTTTTTATCCTCGAGAAAGTTTCATGTTTCCTCTGCCTAACACAAAACAATTCTAAGCAGCCATTAGATAGATTTTTTTGACATTTCAAAAATGCTTTATTTTCTTCTTCAAAACCTTGGTCTCGTCTCACTTGAAATAGATCCTTAGCTCCCGTTGTTTAAAAGCCAAAAAATTAAAATCAATAGACCAAATTCTTAAACATTCATATTCATTCTGAAAATTTCCTGTCCTTAAAACAAAAACGTATCCCAAAATAAAGGCAAATAGTATTCTTTCACTTATGACAAGATATATAGATTTAGCAGAAAAGTTCCTTCACTTATTGCAGGATATAAAGATTTAGTAGAAGTCTTCCTGCATTTATTGCATTATAATTATTCCTGGACTTATTGCAAAATGTATAGGTTTAGAATATTACATTATCATCTCAAATATGTAGTACGAAAACTTTCAAGAAAACCGACTTAGTAGAAAGGGATGAAAAATTAAATTCAAGGGTTTATTTAAGTAAATAAACAGAAAATAATCTAAATAAAATAATGCAATTAGCCTCCATTTCCGTTTAGACTGCAGTACAGTAGTATATAAAATATTTATGAGCTTTAGGAAACCAAAATATAAATGTTATGTGCTTTATTGCAGCGGAACAGAAGTGAATCTGCAATATCTCTGTATACGCCTGCTTCATATTTATTTTCCCCCGCATTTCTTACTACTAACTTTGTTTATAGCCCCTCCTGTGCTCAGAAATATAATGAGTTCAGTTTCCAACAACTTTATATCAAATAATTCCGTTTTCCAGAATGTTAAGCAGGAAATACTTAAACATACAATTGCTCTTAATCTTGACCTTCGCGATGCGGCGAAGAATATTAAGTATATCGATGAAATTGAGCAGTTTGAGAGGAGTGGCTGTCAGTGGCTAAAATCATTGACGGTCACAATAAAAAACATTAAAAAAGTAATTTGAACGGCAGTGCTGAACTTTAAAACTAACGGAAAAGAAGACGAATTGAAACATTTGCATTTAGATTTGCAATAAAATCTGGCTTGTCCATTGATGTATGAAGCGATATTACTTCGGCTAATGAAATTTGAATTTTCGATTTTGGATTTTCGAGAAGAAAAAAAATCTACCACTTTATGTAGAAAGTTTTCATTTCGAGCATTTTTTCCTTTGATAACATTGTAAGGATTTACTTATCTTCGCTAAAGAGTTATTTTATATTAATTATATTTGCTGTCTTTCTCGCTTTCGATTTTCCTGCCAGAATGCAAATTTCTAGTTTGCTTGTATCCAAATGAGGTAGAAGGAGACAGCCTTTAAAGGAGATTTTTAGAGGATAGAATCAGAAGCTCTATTCAACACAATAATGCCATTTCCAAACTCCAGGATTTTGTTTCAGATATTGAGGACTGGTATAAAAAATGGAGATTCAGTATAAATATCTCAAAGCTCCTATTGGAAAGGAGGTGGAAGATACTGAATATAGCATTGAACAACCGCTATTTATTCGAGAAGGTTGTTAACCATGTAATAATGTATGTTGTGTAAGGGTTATCATTAACCAAAGGCTCACATGGATATGTAATAGTAAGCACGTCAAGGAAAAGCCTGTGGTATCGCCAACCAACTTTCTGCACACCTAATTCTATGCTATCCATCTACAGCCTGGGAGTCAGCCTCAAAAGCAAACTTCCGCAAACTTCAGATAGTACAGAAAAAGATTCTAAGAAGAACTGTGACCTGATTAGAAACAAATTGATCCATGATGACTTGAAAATTGACTCTATAGTGGACACACTTAACATAGCGGACCACACTAAACATAGCGGACCACACTAAACTTAATAAGCGTTTCTTCAAAAGTGGGCTTAGCTGTGATATTGAAAATTTTCAAAAGTTCTTAGTTTCAAATTATTCAAAAGACAATCTAATCAGACCATTTTCTACTCACATGCTCAGAGACCATATCTTTATAACCTAGTTTTGGTTGCAAATGTTTATTTGTTTTCTTGCGCGGCGCGACTTTTCTCTCTCGTCGCTTTCCATTAGATCAGCACACATGCAGTAAAGGACACAATAGTCTCCTCATTTTTACCTTACTTTCTTGATCGTTCCTGGAATTTCGCCTGCTAGCTCATCATCAAGTCATGTGCTCTCAGTGGCTTAATTTTCTTATATACCTTATTATTATTTATGAGGCCTTATAAGCAACTTCATAATCAGTAGCAATATCAGGTAGAATCAGAAACATCGAGCTTCACGGGGTAATTCAGCATTATTTTACTAGTGGTACTGGTATTGGGTGGATAGAATTAGAGTGTGTTCCGCCTGCTGAAGACCACGTTTGCTAATTGAGTCTCTTGGGAGCTGTATATCTGCAGCATTGCGTCATTCTCGCCATTAAGCTTATCACGATGCCTTTTAGATCAGAGAGAGTTAGAGCCAAACCGTTAACCTTTAAAGCCAATTTTTGCGTTTCTTTATTTGTGTTAGCCGTTGGGCTAACTTACATTTACTCAGTTATCTTAGTTTCATTACCTTTCATTTAAGGCCATAAATGATGGCTATTCTGTAAGCACGAGCGTTGCCTTCTGTTAACTTTTATTTGAGTTAAACAAAAGGATCTTTTATACCCTTTCTCAGTTTATGTTGTAATTTGCAAGACCTAACGATAAGTCACTTCAGTCCTTTTAAGTTCTCGATCTAATTTATGCTACAGAAGAAAATGAGACCTTTATAACCCGTTTCATTTTACCTGAGCTTATGCATGCGTATGTGTATATATATATATATATATATATTGTATGAACTTAAATCCATTTAGTGCGAATACAAGTTATTATTACTTGCGCAATTCGCCAAAGTTAGTTAATAATAATTTATTTCCTAAACAGTATTGATTAATTAATTATATTATCTCTAAGTTTAATTAAAGTAGAATTATTTAAAAGTGTGCATCCATACTGGTAAGTTATTTTGAAAGATGTTTGAAGTAATTTAAAGCAAAATGTTAATATTTTTAACGGGGAATGGAGTTAATCATCACGAAGAATAATATTACAATTGTAAAAGTAAAAATTAAAACTGTAATTTTGTCATTGTCGGAAATTAGTTTGACTTTTAAGGGGAACAAACCAATTCCGTTCAATGATCAATAATTGATAAAAATACGTAATATAAGTGTTTGTTTTTACTCGAGTTATAAGTTAAAGCCAACCGGCAATTCTAGTCAGGCCAAATATTTCCGCGAATAGTTGTTACTCAAAGAACTGATTCTCATGAAGCATTTTAGTCAATTCATTGGAGTAAAAATCAATTACTGTAGAGAAATCTTGTAAACTCGAGTAATCGTCCCGACACTATATCTTTGTATTTGAGACTATATATTTGTAGAAATTAAACATTGGAAATTGTGATTATGAAATCGAAATCAAAGTAAAGTTGAAATAAACATAGAGATTAAGATTATAAAAAAGATAATAATGCAAACTTTGCAAAAACAAATCAAAGAGAACAAAAATAATATAAAATAATATAAAAATAAAATAGAAAATAATATAAATAAGATCAGTGAATGTACATGAAGATATAAAGGCCTTTATATCTGCAGCAACTGTGGAGCGAGATGTCTCAGGACATCATATGGAACTTGTATGCCTCAATGCCCGCTCGTATCGCATCGTGCATTCGCGCTAGAGGTGGCCCAACAGAGTACTAAAACTTCCGCCCATGTTTACTTTTTTCTGCAATAAATGATCCTTTTTTATTTTATTTTCTAATAACTTATTTATATCAAAGTAGTACTTATATATGTAAAATTTCGTTTCATTCTGACAACTCTTTCTTGGTGCGCAAATTTTTATGGCAATGAGTGTATGTATATTTAAATAGGAAAGGAATTTAAACCTTTTTTTGAGAATTTAATTCGTTCCTCAAGGTCTTTCGTCAACTTAAATATTCATAAACTGAAATAATTCCTCTCCTTCTTTAGAAATTAATGTAAAATGGATTAATTTGTTCCTGGATCACAGATGATTGCTAATTTAATTTTTACGACAGTAGTTTGTGCACAAGCTCATAACCCAAAACCAATGAAAGTCATTAAATTAAAAAAAAGTTAACACAATATTAAACAGATAAAAAGGATGAAAACTTTATTTAATTTTATTGCAGTTGTACAAAGAAGAATGTCAAAGGAAATAGTATACGTACAGAATGATGAGGAAGATGTTAGTGATTTAATGCAAAAAGAAAATAGCATAAGTGGAGAATGATGAGCAAGATGTTGGTGTTTTGATGCATAATTCCCTACCATGAAAGCATCTTTTAGGGATATCTTCTTTTATCCTCCTCCCCTTTTTTAAAAAATTTCAATTAGACTTTGCTTGCTCACTGATCATGGGGCTTCTGTTTCATTCACAGTTTTTCCAATAGTTTTCCATGTTGCCAATGTTTTAAAATGTTTCTAAAGTAAGACATGGCATTGTCATTGGAAATGCATATGCTGTAGCTTTCCACTCCTCTTTTGCACGTGTTTTACGAATCTGAGAACTAAGATCATCTTTGTTCTTTCCTTTTCTTCTGAAGACATTTCTTCCACAGCCGTCTTTTGTTACTGCCTCAGAAGTTGCTGCAGTTCTTTCTTGTTGGGATAATTTTTGTGAATCTTTAACTTCTCCCCATGTTCAATGTTATTTTCCTAATCAATGCTTTTGCTTAGAGACCCAGTATCATAGATATGAAAAAACGTTCAAAATGGCAACGTGGACAAAATCTCCTCCTGGTAATCCAAACTGGCCTGCTACTACTACAGGTTGAAACAGCTGTCTTGTAAGTATCTTTCTGACAGCTTTTGTTCACAAAAAGATTAAAAATGTTAAAACGATGCTTCCAGAAGGACACGAGTGTCAATTATGTAGTATAGTTCACATCAAAACACATTTCAAAACTATATATTGCCGAATTGAGAGTTTAGAACTCGAGATATTGTTCGTTATTCAAGGCATTTTCTACTCAGATAATTTCTTCTTGAACCGAATTGGTGGTCAAATGAGGCTTTTATGATGCTAGGTTCCACTGTACATATATATATATATATAGAGAGAGAGAGAGAGAGTTCACGCATCGAGGCAAATAAAGGAACCAATGATTTATCTTTATATTCTGAACAATTTATTAATAGGATGTGCCTTGTTACCTTGGCCTACACAAATGTTTTCAACATTTAAGGCTTATTATATAGTTTATTATCTCATTATCATAAATTTTGGATTCCTATTTATATTTCAAAAGTATTGTTATTTCGATATTAACGGTTAACTGGGTGTCGGTTACGTGGAAAATTACTATATATATCCGCTAAGGGAAGTCAATATAGTTGAAAAACATTCTGGATAAAAAGCAAATTATTGGATTATTAGAATTGTGAGAATCCCTATCTCTTTCAACGTGTTAAATAGTTAACTTTCAAACTTTATCTGTTTCTGGTTAACAAATTAGACGACTTATGCATCAAATTAAATTTTTAATAATGTATTATTTTACTTTTCAATCTGATTGATTAAAAAGTCCATTTACTTTCCTTGCCCAGCTCGCGCTAATAATTTCTACAGAAATTCTTCAATCTTCATAGTGCTTTGTCCATCCAGTCTCTATATCTTGTAATAATATAGTTTTCATTCCTTTTTCGTGGTTCATTCAGAAATATTCCCCAGGCTTGGTTGCCTAGGCAGAGAGAAAAAAAATATAACAAAAGTATTATATAAGATGATTGTTACAGAGCGGCCATTGCGTACCCTGTCATAATATTCTTTATAAAAACAAAAGTAAAATAAAATGAAACAATTGATAGTTGAGCTAATATCAACACTGAAAATATAAAATGAAAAAAACAATAGCATACCAAAAATAATATAAATATTGTTCAGCAATAAGCTGATCCATACTTCGTATTCCATTTTTTTCTTCAATGTTGCTTTTGCGCACTGAAAAATAAAACGATTTAAAGTATTTTTATTAATCCCATACATTTCTGAAAAATAATTAAAAGCAGTTGTCATGTTAAAGAAAGTGTACATTATAAATAAAGTCTCGAATCATTTGACTGGAACTATTAATTAAGACCATAAAAGAAATACTTTTGGTTTATTATTAAAATCATCAAAGATTTTTATGGAATTATACCAGCTGCGCCCAGTGAAATTACTGTAACTGGACTCATTAAAATCATTATATATATTTTCTTTTTATAATAAGAATTTTAGGCGTATACCACGTAAGCAGCTAGGAACATAAGTCTATAAAATATATGCTAATAGTTGTGAAATATATGTTTGCTTTATGATGCTATTCAACGAAATATGTTTCAACAGAATAGTTTATGGAATCTTTATTAATCATCTACTTCTTCATGCAATATCTACATCACTATCTAAAAATAATATCATTATATATACACTTGATATTTAAAACGAGATATTAATACTCATTCAAGTGCTTAAAAATAATTTAGTACCAGATAAATGTATTAATTATTGTTTTAAGAAAGCTGGCATTGATAAATTTTTCCTAAACCTTCAAAAGAAGTTAGATACCTAAAGATTTATAAATAATTTTTGTATATAATATAAATTAAAATTTTTTCTGGCATTATATTCTGTTACTAATTAATGGGCCTATTTCATATTTCTGTCAGTCTGGTAAACAGCCCTTTACCAGTGAAGATACCTTCTTCTTCTTTATGCCTTTTAAACCGTTACCAGAGAAGAATTAATTAATTTCTTCTGTTTCATTAAAAAGATTTTTACTAAAAAAACTGACGACAACTTTAACTAACAGTAAGGTTATCTCGCCAATTTAAAGCTACCATATCTAAAATGACACACGCACTGAGGAAACGGTGTAGCACCAGGGACCCTACCCCTTGTAGAACAGATATGTTATTTCAAATACTGTCGTTAGTAACTAGTATATATTTAGAATTTATATATATATAATAAATCATGTTTTCAACATTTTTTTAAGTTATAAGAATAGATATAAGATAAGAGATAAATTAAAAGATACATTTCTAAAAAGACTAAAGTGTGCGTCAAGTTTCAATAGACCTGAAGTGCTATCTGGGAAGGCCGAGAAAGGATGAATGAGCTGGCTATAGCTTGATGCATAAAAAACATTCATATAAATAATAGGCAAAGTATTGTGAGCCTCTTGGTGCACTAGTAATAATTAAACCTTAAATCTATAATACAATATTAAGAGATACATAACGGATTAAATAAGTTATACAATATGGGTGCTAAGTATGGCCATAGGCCGTGCTAAGTATGGCCGTTTACTATTATTTGGGTCATTAAAGTTGTAATCTTAAATCTTTATAACTGGGTTGTTGATATTAACAAGATTGGCATAAAAGTTATTGGGCGAGCCGGCAGTGAAAACACTTAAAGTTGTTCTATACCCAATTTTTCTTGTAACTTTTGAATTCGAACGTACTAGGGAAATTGGTAATCTGTTTTAGGACAGAATTTTGTGCCTGTTGCAATTTTTTTCTATAAGATTTGCATGAATATGCCCAAAATATCTAAAATAGAGAACTAAACTTCACCAAACACTTATTATGACAACCCTATTACATTTCATCACTGAATACACATTTACGTTTCCAGTCAATTCAGTTTAAATTTCGCAGACAAGTTAATTTTAATTTCCTCCCTTCCTCTTAAATAAGCACTTTTAAGTTAACGTATTAATATAAAAGAAAATATAAATTTTGATTTTGAAATTAACGATTTACCGTCAAAGAATGAATAAATTTTGTTTTTAATTGTGATTTTGAGTTTGATATAAAAGAATATTTTAATCTAAAATAATATACTCAATTTTACTTTTCATTTTGAAATTAACTTTTTAATATAAAATAATATATAACTTTTGTTTGTATTTTTGATTTTGAGTTTGATTATAAAAGAATGTTTTAATCTAAAATAATATACTTATTTATACATTTTTCTATTAATGTCTTCTTTCATATATATTAATTTGTACAAGTACTGAGAATGTCAGGGAATATTTTGTCTAAAATAAACATCTCAACGAATACCTTAAATTAAGAAGAATATTTTACTCATTTTTATTTTAGATTTTTTTTATGACAAAAAATACTTTTGCGTAAGTAAAATAATATCTTTCTAATAATTGAGTATTGTTCTTAGCTTCTGATTTAACTCTAGCAAAATAACTAATTTGATCCTTATTTGTAAAAGGCCCACCAGCGGCCGAGCGGTAAAGTCGCTGAACACTGGTAGTTCGGTCCGAGGTTCGAATCCCGCGAACGGGCTGGCTGCATGGGTGTTTTCGTGGTTTTCCCCATGTGTAACGTGTATAAGAGCCAGATTCCCTTAGAAAGTCCTCCACGAAGGCATCCCTCCCCTTAGGCAGATAGCCCTACCGTGCTTTGCCATAATTAAATACACACCTTATTTGTAAAAAGACGAAACACTTTCGCTTTTTGCGATCAATGACAATAGTCACTTTTCACCACTTTAAATTTTATTTTTGTTATTTAGATTTTTTACGGTTAAAATGTTTTTGTAATACTGACATAAAATAATTTAAAATACTCACTATAATTTTTTCTAATAATTCATACCTTTAATTAAGTTTCTTTCCTTGGAGATTATATATAAAAAAAACTTTTTCTAATAATAAATTATATATATATATATATATATATATATATTAACATATATAAGGGTATATCATTTTTCCAAAGATGTGACTTTGCTTACGCCTTGAGTCTCAGTTATCTAAAATATATATATGCCAAATTTCAAGACGATTGCATAATATATAACGGTTGCACACATTGATCACTTTTATCTCCAACTAGTGAAATTTCTAATATTGAAGTGCTTTTTACTAATGTACTACAGCATCTAATACAGGACTGATACAAGTGGCATGTACCAAAAATGTTAGGGAATTCGGACGAACAATTGCTGTTGTTGGCTTGCCGTCATCACACACATGAATTAATACTGAAAGGGTGTTCTGGCATACCATCAAGCGGTCTTGATATCCAGAGTTTTTGGAAGTCTGTGGCTTCACTTGATAAGAAGTTATATACGCCAGTGTTAGATGAAGAAAGTCCCGTTCAAGGCTCTCTAGAAGAACAACAAGTGAAAATGATTAACTGCATCTAAAATGTTTTAAAAGACGGAAGTCATCCAAGAGAAGACTACAAAGAGTTATGACGACTCTCACTCCTGTACCTGGGAGTTTGGTCTTAAAACCACTTCAGTTTGCGGATCTTCATGGACTCTGAAAATTGTTGATATTCTTAAAATTGATCATTAAAGGTAAATGGCAAAGGCAATTTATGCACTTAAAAATGTCCTCTTCACTAAATAGTTGAATAATCCTCAACGAGAATTGAAAGAAATGACACAGGTTGCACATTTTGTCAGCCTCATTCATTTTCCCTTTTGGCTCGAGATAATTTTATGTCGATAGTCTCCAAATAATGAATTGGATATGCTAAAGTTTCTGAGCACTTAACCCAGATGCAGGCGTCAAAAATGCTTTCACAGTTGATTAGAGATAGCTTTGGATTCTTCGGAAACAAACCTAGGATTGGAGTTTTTGGGCAAAGGCTGATAAGGAAAATATGACTAAAAATTTATAAACCAAACCCTGCAAAGGAAACGGAAGTGGGATGATGAGAGGGTATAAACCTAGTGTTTGAAGGAAAAGACCTAAGTCGTTTCATTACTGACCAAAATAAAGACGTTCTTTGAATTATTTGGGATCCACGACGTGATGGATTACTGCAGTGATTCTCTACGAAGACATGTATAAACGCTCTTAAGACGATCAGTGATACCGCAGAAAGTGGAATTGCTCTGATAAAAAAAAAAAAAGGTTTAACGAATCGGTCAGGAACGAAAAACAAACACAATTCTTGTTGAGGTAATCGAGCATCAAGGAAACGTTTTCAGCGAGCGAGCAAAAGAAGGGATTACAAAGTTGATTAATTTAACGTTGATTCAAAGTTGAGTCATTCAGAGTTACTTAATTTAACACATATTTTGCCTGTCATAGTAACTGCGCCTTGTACATATCTTAATCTCTAATTTTAATACTATTTTAAATTTATAATTTTTGGTTTTCCCAATAAAAGTAACTAACGTCGAAAAATAGTAATTTTTGTCTGCTTTTAGAAAATTGATCAAGCTGTGCAACCTCTAAATATTAACCAATCTTCTTTTAATTTGGCATATATATCTTTTACATCACTGACACACGGGGAGTAAACAAAGTCTGCAAAAATTTTACGTTTTACTTTTCCCTTACAAAATGAAGCACCCTAATAAACATGTGCAATTATTATTAGAATAAAAGTGTGTATCATTTTAAATTAATTTAATTTAAGGCAGTTACCCTGAGCCCTTTTCCTTCGCTTTCTCCCATATGGCAGAGTGTGCATTTTCCGAAACATTTTTTGTTATTATTTAGGTGATATATTCCTAAATAAATACAAAAAATGATTAGGTGGTATTATTTGGTGATAACACGTAACATCTAAATCGAAATTTAATAATTTTAACAGGCTATAAATTTCAGATTTATCATAGATAATTAACACACATAATGTACAAATGAATTATTATTGCATTTAATAAAAATAATAATAACTTATATCATTGTATTTGCATGATGGCTAACTTAACACTTTCCTCCCAATGGGATCTTGTAAACTCACCCGTGTTTAAAATTTTCTTTGCCATAAGTTTTTTTGTTAAAATTTGAATGTACAATCTTTGTCGAACAATTCCTCCATTGAGACTTTGCCAAATGGAAATCCTATTCCTGAGTCAATGAAACCACACTCGGGGAAAATATCTGCTATTGAGAATCCTCTGGTTAGAGTAAATAATATGTTTCATGATGTAGTAAATTAAAGGATGTAATAAAGTAAACAGTT